AAGCAACCGAGTGAGTCCGGATTAGTTTTAGGAAGGTAGTTTGCTGTAAATAGCATAGCATTTTACTTGTAGCTTAGTTTAGCTTATTCTTAATAAAATGATGGGCAAGATCGCCTAAGTTAAAAAAAAAAAAAAAAAAAAAAAAAAATATATATATAATCTCATTTGCAACACTAATAAAATTCTTTTAGCAATGTAAGCTGCTTTTAACGACAAAAAAAAAAAGAAGTATTAAATGCTAAAAAATGTAATCTTATTTTAAAAAAAAAAAATTTTTTTTATTTCTTAAATAAATCAAAATTAAATAAATTTTTTTTATAAATTTATATATAAAATTGAGATATATCAAATTATTTAATCTATAATTAAAACATTTTGAACCTTTATAAAGTTATAGGTCTTATGTCTATTAAAAAAAATAATAATAATTTAGTATATTAATATTAGATTAGTTTATAGCTTTGTAAGCTTTTTCTTAATAAAATAATAAACAAAATTGCTTAAATTAAAAAAATATTATATATATTAATTAACTTTACTTTAAATTATTTATTAGATAATTATTTATTTGAATATTTACTAAATATGAATATTATTTAAATAATAAATACAAATATAAAGCTCTATAAACATAAATTATAATTATACAACTTGAATCTATTTCAAATTTAAATTAAACCTACTTCGGATATTTTGAACTCAAGTTAAATCTACTTTAAATTCTATTTAGAATTCAACTTAAACCTACTTTAAGTTTTACTTAAATCCACTTCAGATTCAATTCAGATTCAACTTGAACTCACTTCGGATTCAATTTGAACCTATAGTATTACTATATTAAAAAATATATATTGTTATAGATTAATAATATTTAATCTATTTAATAACTAACTTATTCTAATATCTAAACAACTAGTAATAACACTTTTTTTTACAATTTAGTATATAACTGATTATTTATTTGTTTTATTTATATATGATATAAATAAAAAAAAACTCTTATAAATTGTAATGTATCGATTAAGAGTAAAAACATCATTTAAAAAAAGCCATAAAACTATACGATTTAGGTAAAATTATATCTGGGGCAGTTTCGAAGCTGAATCGGGCAATTCCAATTTGGGATACAACAGTGGTACAACATATATTTCGATATCGATATATAATACGTAAAACAAAATTGGGACGTTACTTTCGTACCCCGGATTGGAATCTTCCAGATTCAGAATCGAGCTGTCCCGGATGGAAATTTTGCAAATTATTTTGCAGGATTAGGATTTTAGGGGCTAGAGTTAGGGTTTAGAATAAAAAAATTTTTTAGTCTGTATAATTTGGGCCAAAATTACAAAATTCTCATCTGGAACTGTCCCGATTCGGAATCGGAAGATTCCAATTCGGGGTACAACATAACTGTTACTTTGGTACCTACCTCTGTACACCTTTGGTCGTAACTAGTGACTACAGTACAGCAGTAAGTATAGCAATAATCATTCATGATTGAGGTCATGATGTGCCATTGTGAATTTAAATTATGTGTACGAATGTTTTCCGATATTATAATTATTATTTTATCATTTGATAATAAATATGTAAGCGATGTATTTATATAAAACATCATAATTATATTTGCAAGTGACATCAGTACATTTTTTTATGGGCTATTATAAGGGTTATATTTGCAAACCATTTTCACCTGAATACCCGATTTCGAAATCATGCAGGTGGCCCGGGTGACAAAGTTGCATCCGGTTTGGAACTCTAAGAAATTATTAAAAGGTTTCATCATCATATTCTGTTTCTTGTGGAGCACCTTCAGGGGGGACTTCAAAGCCGTCCTGAAAATTTGAAGAAATTTTATTAAATAATTTGTGCAAAACAGTTATGAAATTATTGTAATATTAACTGATAGCGAACCTCTGTACTATAAAGAATAGCTTGAATGTCTTTCAATAATTGATTGTCAGGTTCACTATCGATACGTTGTTGAACCAAGATTTCGATATCACGAAGTTTTCCAAAATAGAAATCACGTTCTTTTTCGAGACCATCTACAGTAATCTTAAGATCTTCAACTTGTTTATTTAATTCAATCACCATTGAGGCCGATTGGCTGCTATCATGTAGGCCTGAAGCTGGAATACGACCTTTTTAATAGAATCAACGAAGATAGCAAAAAAATAATTAAAAATTAAAAATCAATAAGAGTTGATATAAGAGTGATACATCAAATGATATAGAATCTCAGTAGCTTGCCAACTGAAGAAGTGGGCGTTGTCCTTTTTTGCATTGTTCGGACACCACCAGTGACGGTTTTAACAGGTCCGCCATCAGGTCTACGTCTTTGAACAGCATCATATGGTCCACCGGGGTAATATGTATCCCAATACCTCTTCATCCATTGCAAGAATTCAAGATTATCTTGAAATTTGCATTTAACAAGACGTTCAACTGGAATGATCTAAAATATATTTAATAAAGTGTTATTATTAAAAGCATTTAATCTAAATGTAATCCCCGATCCCTAAATATTCGGTCATTCTTTGATAACTAAAAGATAAAATCCTGCATACTTTATCAATTTTATGTTTGTCAAAGGCTGTTTGCAACACTTTGTAGTTAGCAACATATTCGTATTCATGTTTTGCTACAAACTTGACTTTGCTCATCTGTACGTCGCCTATATAATTGTAAATCAAATCGTTAAATCAACTCTAGTAATAAAATTTTCGAGATCCAAAAAAAAAAAAACTTTTACCGAATATAGAATCAATAATTTGGGTGTAGGCGGCACCTATTATAAAGAATAATAAATATTAATTACAAAAAAAAAAAATTGAAAACCGGGTGTAAAATCTTTAGAGCGGCGAAAGATGTCTCTCCGAAAGACACGACGTAAACGCGAATCGTTTTCTTACCCGTTCCGCATTGCTCAACCTTTGTATAACTGATTTGTAGTAAGTCGTTCAACCACGCAAGAAGCTCGGTCCGTGATTCGCTCATAGTTTATAATAGTATAGTCAAGAGTGGTTCGGTTAGGTGATTCTGAGATGAAAAAAATTTAACGAAGGAGATAGGTGATGTGGTTTATGGATTTATTGCAAGTACTTTATTGATTTATATGCTGTGTTACAAAAAAAATTAGACAATATAAAACCAGTTATAAAAAAAAACTATTCAGGGCGAAGCTTAATGCATGCCAGATTTATCGTTTAATCAGTATAGTAATATCTTTATAATGCTCTGGGACTATCGTTATGCACTTACTTAGCGTTAGGGTGTGCACTTAAGAATTATATTGTATTTGGATTTCTTTAAGAATTCTTTAAGTGCACACTTTTAGAAATTATAATAAAAATAATATATAAAAATAATATAATAATAAAGAAAGTTGCATTTATAGAAAGTATGTAATTATAGAGCTCTTATTAGCTAGAACGTGCATTTAGAGAGAATTATATAGATCGTGCATTTGGCTCCAGTCCCAATCTTGTACTAGACCATAGAGAGAGGGTACGCACTGCACTTATAGTGATGTTACTGTATTTTTCACTCTTCTTCACCAATGAAATTACTAAGTATTCTATAAAAAGAACGAAACACATGATTAAAAATTCTTTTTAACAAATAGTTATACTTTTAAAGAGTTTTTTTTTAAATGTGCAAGTTATATTATGTAATTTTTATGCCATGTGCTTCTTATTACATACGGTATCGGTATATAGCGATACGTATACGATATATTTGGTTATAATATCAACCAATCAAATTCGTTTTTTCTTATAAAAATCAATTTATTAGAAGTCTATATTAGACAGCATATACTATACAAATTTTTATATATAAAATTATAGCTATGGTACGCCAAGTCACTTATTATCAAAAATCATGTACTTTTTAAAAAATTTATAAAATCTTAAGTTTTAAATATTTTTTAAAAATATAACCAATAAAAACTATTATTTTTTATTAGTTTTATTCAAATTATTAGTTAGAATTTTTAAATAAAAAATTTAAAAAAAATTTTTTTTTGAAATTTTTTTATCTAATCAGAATTAGTATATTATATATTCTAATTGGCTAAAAAGTATTTATATATATTTAAAATTTGATGTATTTGATAAGAAATAACTTGAAGTATCTTAGCTAATTTTAAAAACTAAAAATAAATATAGCATCTAATACTAAAATTAGTTAATATTAAAATTTAAAGTTTTAATTTAAAATTTATTTGTATTTTTTATCTAGTTTTATTATAAATAATTTCAAAAAAATTATTCAAAAATTTTTAATATATTGATATAAATAATTTTAGTATTAGTTAATTTTAATATTAAATATTATTAAAATTTTTTTATTTTTTTTTTTTTATATCTTGAGTAATTTTGCTTATTATTTTATTAAGAAAAAAGTTTAAAAAAAAACTAAAAAACAATCTAATATCGAAATAGAGTAAACAGAAAAAAGACTACAAAAAATAATCTCAACTACTCAGCAAGAAAAAAATATTGAACAACAAGAGAGATAATATCCTGAACTAGGCAGAGTGTAGTCTTTGAACTATTACTGCTAGTTTTGTAAGAGGTCTACTGGAGCTTTGCTACTGACCTTAGTGGGTCTTAGATTTTTTTTAGCCTATAGGATAACTTGTAGAAATATTACAAATAAACTCACTAAACTACTTGGACTAGGTCAAGTAGCAATACATTCTCTTTTCTAGCTTACGATTTTTAGTTCTATCTAGATAAACTTCCTATACCAAAGTTCTGCAGTTTTTCCTTTTTCTCTTTTTCCTTTTTTCTTTTTTGAAAAATAGGGAATTGGGTTTCTCCCTGTAAATAACGATCTTTGTTTATCCTTACTATTTTTGGATTATCATGAAGAAAGCAACTATGTGACAAATTGGTCTGTTTGGATCTTTGTTGTATTACACATAAGTAACTACATGTATCTGGTCTTTGGAAAATACAGCTAAAGTACAAGACAGATTAATCAAAAAATAGAGTTCAGTTAAAAATTATATAAGATATGCTTATATTGCTATAACATAATATTTTTGTTTCTAGTTCAAGCTAAAGGGCAACTTATTTCTTTTTTCTTTGTTTATTTCTTTTTATCTTTTCTTTTTATTACTTTTACATTAGTATTTTTTTCTGTAGCAGGTTTTTACTTATGTAGATAATAGTCATAAATTGTTGCTACTTAAATCTGTACAATTTTTATTTTTAGTTTTTATTGTTATAGTTAGATTTCTCTTTATTGTTTCTTTAAGGTAAACTTTTAGGAGGGATAATTAGGAACTTGCTATTGCAGTTAGGATGAGCTATGAGTTCCACACTATTGATCTTTACTATCAAAGCATTAGAATATATAAAATAGCAAAGAGAAGAGAATACTCATTATAACAAGTTATTTATAGATCTATATAGAAACTGAGGAAGCTACACTTTAGAAAACAGAAAACACTGCTATGTATAGAATTTTTTTTAGTTCTTTGTTGGTTTTTGTATTACAAAAATTTATAATAAAGTTGTAGCCTGACTGCTGAATTTAAAAAAAAAAAAAAAAACAATCTAATATACAAGTATACTAATTTGTCTTTCCTAGACTATTCTAGACTAACTCAGCTGCCTCAAGAGTATCTAAGTTTGATCTGCTGCAGAGGTTATTTTTCTTATGAAAACCTTAATCTACAGATACAGATTCTCAAAATTTGGTTAGTGAAAGTAGCTTTTAGCTATATATCAAAATCCTAGGTTCCTCTAAGCCTAGTTAAAACTAAGTTGTAAGTAGTTAATATCTAGTTTTAAGATATAAAAATGATAAAAATTGTATAGACCTAAGTGATCATAGTTTATAACAAAGTCTATACTAAAAAAATCTGCTACAGGTAAGAGAAAAAAAACTAATATAAAATATAAACAAAAAGAAGAAGATAATCAGATACCCTATAACTTGAGTAAGGCTTAAAAATTTTAAGTTATATAACTTATAACCTATCTTGAATAATTTACTTTCTAATATACAATTCATCTTAAAAATTTAGAATCTATAGTATCAAAGTTATATTATAGACTAAATAATAAACAAAGTATATAACTTTGTTTATTACATAAGGTTGCATATCTACAAAATATTTTCAGAAATAGAAAGAGTAAACAATACTAATTTTTTGTAGAAGAGAACCTAAATTCCTTACTTTTTGTTGAAAAAAAGAAAAACTAGAAGAAAAAAGCTTGCAATATATTCTTATTTTCTAGAATCTAAAAGAGTATGTAGACAAAATAATTTATTGTCTCCTTATTAAGCTTTCTTTTATCAACTTTGTTGACAAAAAGCTCTTTTATATATTTTTACTAAAAATTTTTATACAAGGATACTCTTTTGCTAGTTATCTTGTATAGTATCACTTTTAGCTTATATATCAAATATACAAAAGAGTTTTTATATAGCAAGTAGTTGACTTTTGTAAAAACTGCTGTATTGTAAAAGAATCTTCTTTATTTTTCTCAATAAATTTTTGTTTTTTGCTTTTTCAAATTTTTAGAAAAAAAGATCATCAGAAAGAGTTTTGTTAATTATTAATATTAAATATTTTTTTTTTTTTTTTTAACTTAGGTAACCTTACCCTTGGTTTATTAGTGGAAGATTTCTAAAGAAATCATAATACAAAAATAAAATAAAAAAACTAATATTTTAAACTACTAATGTATCTCACCTTTGTAATCTCGAATTCACTCAGCTTACCTTGCACTGCTCAGATACGATCTACTACAAAAAGTATTTATCTTCCTAAAAGGTATCTTATCTAAGTAGAGTGGTTCCTTCAGATCAACAATAGATTCTTTTATGCCTTATCAAGGTTCTAGGTTGCTTCTAATCTAATTGAAACTAAATTACAAACTATTAATACCTAGTCTAAGTTAAAAACAAAAATTGTTGTATATAATAAAATATAGCTAATTATATAAACTAAGCTTGTAAGAAAAATTCTACTACCAGATTAAAAAATCTTTACAGTTAAAAAATAAAGAAAAAAGAAAAAGAAATAAACACAAAATTTAAAAATTTTATACTATGCAAAAACAAGAATGCATATCTCTAGCAATAAACTTCTCTAGAAGTTAAATCCTAATTAGATCATTCACATAATAGTGATGTATATGTTTGTTGTCTTGTCTAAGTTGCATATCAACAGATGACTTGCTAATTTAGAAAGTAGTACGAACTTGCAGATTCTTTGTTAGAGGTTTATTAAATCTCCTACTTTTTAATTTTTTAGTATAGAGAAATCTAAAGGTCTAGAGAAAAATGGTAGTAGTGCCAAAAAAATTTAAAGAGAGTATATATTTTCTAAAATCTACTATCCACTTGTATTCACCTAGAGTATAACTAGTACTTATCTTTTGTAGGTAAGTGATAAACTCTAAGTTTGTCAGCAAGTAGCATATGAGAACTACTTCTAAATAACAAGTACCACTATGATATTGCAATAAGTAATAAACTCTAAACCTGTTAGCAGATAGTGTATGAGAACTATCTCTAAATAACAGATACTGTTTTATGCTTCCTTGCGTTGTTGCTCTTATGTTTCTACAAAGTTTATTGTATATTTTTTAAAAAAATAAGTTGGGAAATTTGGTATGAGAGATTATCAGAAAGAGTTCGA